AGTTAGCAGTACCTTGCAAATTATGACATCCCTACGGGGAGATATTTTAAGATTAGATCAAACAGGAACGGGGTCTTTTGGGTAAGATGTCGACCCTTACAGAAGAGATAAATTGGCCTAGCACTTAACCTTTAGATCCTAAATCTAGATCTTACTCCCTTTGATGTTCCAACAATTCCTTTGAGTATGAGCCTTTTGCTGATGGCTTCTGGACATGTATTATGATGGCTACTGGATGTTATTCAACCAGTGGCTACTGGCCAGTACCTGGAGTTTGATATAGGCGATGGGTACTTTTTTCCTCTTTGGTGTCCGCAGTGGGTCAGGACACACAAGTTTGAAAGAGCCAGATGCCAAGAATTGATACTTGGCTGTAATCCTCGTTACTCACCATGGTGAGAGAAGCCTTGTTTTCTCTGAGAGGCAGGAACCAGGCTCGCCTGGCTTTGAGTTCTGGCTACACTACTTCCTTTCTGTGAGTTCCATCTAGTCTTGTCACCTCTCTGAGTCTCTGTTGCCTCATCTGCAAAATGAGCATAAGGATGTTTGCCTCTTAAAATTGTTAGAAGGAAGAAAGTAAGATGGGGATTCAGTAGAAATTCTTACTGTTCCCGTTTCCTTTATTATTTATTTGTTTGTTTATTTATTTATTTATTTATTTGGAGATGGAGTCCTGCTCTGTCACCCGGGCTGGAGTGCACTGACGCGATCTCGGCTCACTGCAACCTTTGCCTCCCGGGCTCAAGCAATTCTCCTGCCTCAGCTTCCAGAGTAGCTGGGACTACAGGCACCCACTGCCACGCCCGGCTAATTTTTGTATTTTTAGTAGAGATGAGATTTTGCCATGTTGGCCAGGCTGGTCTCCAACTCTTGATCTCAGAAGATCCGCCCGCCTCGGCCTCCCAAAGTGCTGACATTACAGGCATGAGCCACCACGCCTGGCCTCCATTTCCTTTTTATAATTTGTCCCTGGACTCCTTTAAGGTAGAGAGAAGCTGTTTGATCGTGCCAGGACCTGGGAGGCTGAAAGGTAACTTCACCAGCTCCATGCCTGGATTTAGCACCTGCTGTGCCAGGCACTGCCCCAGTCAGGTTAATGCCTTTCTCGTCAGGATACCCAGTTCCCTCCATTTTACAGATGAGGAAACTGGGACTCCAGGAGGACGGGGGATCTTCCCAAGGCCACCTGGGCTCATTCAGCTACATCAGCTCCTCCACCTCTGCCTGGAGAGGTTTACTATGGGATTCTGAGACCCTGAGGAGTTCACCTTGCTATGTGATTTCAGCTTTGGGACCTCCAACTCGCTCAGCCCTAAGAGGGGCAGGGTGCCGTTGAGAAGTGGGCTGAGAGGGGCTTTAGAGAGAGAGACTTGAGTTGGGCTGGGTTGGTTTGTTCCGAAGGGTTTTTGTCCATGAGGCTCCCACCCCTGTGGCCACCCCAAACCCTTGGCCAAGGCTCTTGGGTGCTGGGTGGGGAGGCCGGATCCTGTGTTCTGCCAGGGGGAGGGTGTCTCCCTGGGGAAGCCACAGTCCTCCTCCTTTCAGACCCCGATTTTCAGCCCCACACCCATTCCATGATTTTTTTTTTCTTCTTCTTCTTGCTTTTGGGTGTTGTGTTTTGTTTCAGAGGGAGTTTTTTTGTTTGTTTGTTTTTTAGATTCTCTCCTCTTTTTTTTTTTTTTTAATTGCTTTTGCTTTGTTATTTCATTTGTTCTTCCTGGTTTTGTTTTGGACGTCGATGCCGTTTTTTTTCTGTCCTTGAATAATTAGCTCCCCCCACGCTCATTTCTCCATTGTGTTCCGTTTCCATGACAACTCAGCCTTGGCATCTTACCTGTGCCTCGCTGTGGGTGCCGGCGGCTGGCCTGGACCGCGTCCGCCGGCTGGCCGGACCCCATTCTCCCCCCACACCCCCACCCCCCACCCAGCCCTACCAGAAAGCCACCTGCCCCCCCCATCTCACGGCACCTCGCCCCTCACCTCCACTCTGTGTGCATGGCCCTTCTGTCTCCCCCTGCCCCGACTCCTCCCCGGGAGCAGTACCCTCCACTCCCTCCATCCTGTCTCCAGCGCGACTCTGGACTTTTCGCGGGGCTTCTTTTTCCGAAGGGCTGCCAGCTTCCAGACCCCACTCCCACGCCTGTCAACGTCCCCCCTTCTCTTTGCCTCCCGCCCAGATTCAAGAAGGCAGGGGTTGGGATTTCCAGCTAGGAACCGAGGCTGGAAGGGAGGGAGTTGGGGCTGCCTCCCTTTATCCCCTTGAACCCCCTTCTCAGCATCGTAGACCAGACCCCCTGAGACCACCCCCCGAGGCTGCATCCCCCCAGTCCTGTATGAAAATCAGAGGCAGGTGTTGATGGGGATCCTAACTGAGCCTCCAGTCAGTCATCTGTGCAGTTGAAACAAGACTCCTTCACCCACCCAAAGCTGGGGAGCCACCCATGTGTCTTCTTTAGGACCTGAGACTGTCACCCAGGGACAACCCCTTTTCCCGCTAGAAGGATTTATTAGGTTCACCCGAGTCCTTCCCACAGCAGTTAAACAGCCCCTCTGGGCCAGCAACGCTCTTTGCAAGTTCAGGTGCCCGCTAGCCTCCTCCCCTTCCCGCTGCCCCGGAACCCATCTGACTTCCGAAAACGGAGCCCCCGAAATGCATCCTGCTGCCTTCATGATCTCTGAGAGAAGGCTGCATCCACTTCCCCGCTAAGAAACGCACAGAACATGTCCCTGTTCTCTCAACGTTCAAGTTCATTCCCTTGTTTATTATTAATTATTATTATTATGAATATCCTATTTATTATTCTGCCAGGGCTGTGATGTGACAATGTGGCATGTCACATTGGATCACATCTGCTAGAATTAATATGCAGCATTGAAGTGGGCCCCCCCCTTCTTTCTTTCTTTCTCTGCCCCTCCCGCTCTCTGTCCCTGTTTTCTCCTCTTCTCTCTTTCTCCCCATTCATTCGTCTCCTCTCTCTGGTGTCACGTAAGTGTGCACTAGAGATCCCCAAGATCCAGATCCCCCTGCAGTTCCTCCCTCCTTTCTCTGTCTTTCTCTCTCTCTTTCTCTCTCTCTCTCTCAATCTATTTTGCATGATGTTTGTGACTCAGAGCTGCATCTATTGATGGAAACTTGTCAGATCTGACAGAAGCTTTTAGAAGGGTTTCTATACCCAAAAACCACAAAAATTTCATTAGAGTTTCTCATCTTTTCCTGGAGGGCCTGGTGGGAGGGGGGTAAGTGGGCAATGCCCCGAGTCACCGGGAAGTGGGGGGTTGAGAATCTCAGGCTCCTACTGTCTCCTGGTCTCTCAACAACTGTCCTGTGACCACCACATCCCGAGAACCAGGGAGGGTTGGAAGTTGCCCCGTCTCCTAACCCACCCACATCCTGACACTCGCAGCCAGAATCTTCCAGCGCTCCCCGAAGGAGATGCCCCCATTCAGGAGTGATCGGAGGGGCTGCCCCCTGAAGCCACCTCTGTCTGCAAAGATGAGAAACCGCTGATAAATTTTTGTGTTCGTATCTGTGCTGTGACCAGCCACCCTGGTCTATGAAACCCTGTTGCTATGAGATAATGCTTCATGTCTATTATATATTGATATATCTCTCTATATATTGTTTGTGAAGTACCTTCCTTTGAAGTTTTGGTTTCTTTGTGTTGGAATTTGGTTTTTTAATTTGGTTCTTTTGTTTTGTTTTCATTTGGGGGGAAAAAAATCAACAGAGGGAAAAGAACCAGCCCCGTTTATATTTAAATGGTTTTCCACTTTTTTTTTTCCTTTTTTTCTTTCTTTCCTTCTTTCTTTCTTCCTTCCTGCTTTTCTTTCTTTTCTCCTCCGCATCCTGTCTTCCCCTCCCACCCCCACCCC